TGGTTATTGGATGGTTATGAGCTTAAGGTTGGCAAAGGAAATAGTGTTAGCTTTTGGAAGGATAGTTGGAGCAATGCAGGAGTGCTTGCTAATGCTTTCCCAAGATTATACATGCTATCTATAGGAAAGGAAAGCTCTATACAGGAAATGGGTAGCTGGAAAGGTGAAACATGGTCGTGGAACTTTGAATGGAGACGAAGTTTGTTTTCTTGGGAGGTCGAATCACTACAGGATTTAAAGCAATGGATCAATATGACTGAATTCCTAAAAGACAAGGAGGATACTTGGATCTGGAAAGCGAAGAGAAAGGGATTATACACAACAAAATCAGGATACAGCAAACTTGTCCATCAACAACCTTCATCACAATAATCATTATTTATAAGGTTATGGAATAGTCACATTCATAACAAAGTTTGTGGGTTTGCGTGGTTATTATTGCATGACAGGATTCCATCAAAGCTCAATCTGTTCAAAAGAGGAATAGTCACAGAAATAAAAGCAACTACATGCGGGTTATGCAACAAATGTGTGGAGGATGGTGACCACCTTTTCCTCCATTGTATAATTGCTTCAGCAATATGGATAAAATGCATTCAATGGTGGGGTCTAAGCACTGTACTTGCTGGAACATGTAGGGATTCTTTTATGCAGCATGAAGACATGGTATCCAAAGCAAATAACCGACTGGGCTAGGCTACTGTTTGGTACTCTTTGGTATGGACAACTTGGAATACTAGGAATGAGGTAGTATTCAAAGGGGGGCCATGCGAATGTGGATCGGATGTTTGATCAAATACAAGTGAGGTCTTTTTTGTGGATAAAAAATATAGGGAAAAGAGGAAGTTTTACTTTTTCGGATTGGATTCTAAATCCCAACGGTTGTAAAATCTCTTAAGGGACCATACAATATGCCATCAATTGGCAAGGCAACGTTTGAGTCAAATTATGCTTTTTTGATGTAAATGGGTTTGAGTATCCCTTATACTCAAAAATATAATATTTTTTGCCTTTAAAAAAAAAAAAACTTGGAAGGCATGTCTATGTTCACAATTGAACAGATTCTCTAGTTTATAAGGTGATGCCATATGAAGTGGGGTGATTTCATCACACTATGCAAGGAACTCAGATGAATAAAAGCACACACACTCTCTCTCTCTTTCTCTCTCTCTCAAATGTAGAAGTTACTTAAGTGCTTAAATGAATTTGCTTGATTGAGTCCACATAATCTAAATGGTGAGAGACATTCGTTTTTGTTGGCGTATGTCTTCACTAGCATTACTCTTAGGAGTGAGATTTCACTAGCAAGTTATTTACATTTGAAAGATGACCATAAATAGGATTATTGTTCCTCACTTCATCTTAACACAACTTGAGATACCAGGTTAACTTGCATCTTTTCTTTTTTAGATAGTAATCAGCAAAATGTTCCCCAGATGTGGTTGATTAGCTGATTGTACATGGTTTGTGTATCTCATTCTCCAAGTGGTTTAATGATATTACCTAGCAAGAAATAATTATGCTCTTGCATGCATCCTTCAAATGCCTTTTCTATGGTTGCTTGCCTAAAAGGAGAGCAAACAGTGCAGACCAAGCCCTTGTTTTACTTGTCTTTAATCTTAATAGCATTATTATTGACCCCTCTTTTCAATTTTTTCTGCTAGTCAAATCAGATGAGCTCCTATTTGAATTGGATGTTGAGTAGATAGTGCTGTAGTCCTTTTCTGCAGATTGTATTCTAGGTTGGTTTGGTAGTAACTGACACAGACTGCATTTTCTTTAGTTGCTTGCTTAAAAGGAGAGCAAAAAGTTCGCAGGCCATGGTGGGCTCCTTCTTGCCTCTCAGTAAGTCTTTGTCAAGGTAGCAAACGCAACAGACAGTCACGAGTTGTTTCCTCGAAGCTGGAACCATGATCCAAATGCAAAACTTGATTATATGTACGTATATGTAGTTTTTCCTTTCCCTTTTCTTTTCCTCTTCCAGGGAGCCTAAAAATAGGGAAAATCTCAACTTTGTCTTAAATTCTATCAAGATGTTGTCAATAGTTCTCCTTGGAGAATTCCTTTTTGTGTACAAGTCTTTTTGTTTGTTTGATTCTGTTGATTTCTTAGTTGTACACTATGTCTTGATCCGTGGAGCAGAATGCCATTTGTGGTCATATCAAGGAAATGGTGAATCTGGTTACACTGCTCCAAGGCATTTTCACCAATAATTTTATCTCACTATAGTACTGAAGAATTTTTTTTAAGAACATGGGTTTCTGTTATTGGTATAAAATTAGTTATTTAAATAGCATGTAAAATTATGTCAAAAAATAATTTTTAAATCATTTTTTTATTGACCGTCTTTATAAACATCAACCTATAACACATAACATGTCATATGTCCTAATTAAACCATACATCTTAAAATAACATCTAAATGGCTGCACATGTCCATCTTAGCATGGATCAAGGAATTTCTCTAAATAATTTTGTTAATACAACGGAGGATTATAACATAATTTCACTTCGACATTTCATAATTCTATTCTTAATGGAAAATCAAGCAAGATAATTATTTAGTATAAGTTTTAATTTTAATTGTCTTATTTATATGACTTAAATGTTGTATATTTTATTTTTTAGTATTAAAATATGAGTATTTATCTAATATTTATATTTTAAAATATGAATAATTAATTTTTAATCATCAACCTTAAACTAATTATAAAAATAAAATTATATAAATATAAAAAAATAGAATGGGAGTGGTGATTAAGTAAAAATGTCTATTTCAGTCATTTTAGTATTGTATTAGATTAAAAAATCTTTTATAAAAAAATTTACTAAACAACTTTTCATTCTACAAATACTTTTATAAAAAATTTTACCAAACACTTTTAACTTATCGAAAACAACATTTTTACAACATATTCTTTTCAACAGCATTTTTATCAAAAGTTCTAACCACACCAAGCATGCTCTAAATTTAAGATATGTTAACCATGAAAGTTGAAGGAGGTCGAAAGTGGGAAGGTATGGTTCTACCTTTATTAGTTGCAGAATTTAATTGGTTTTTGATTTATGGTTGAGTGCTCTTTTTGTTCCCTTTTTGAGTAACGTAGCATCCAGGACTGATTTTTCTTCTTCTTCTTTCTCTTATAATTCAGTTTTGGTCGCTACTTTTTCCTTTCAATTGCTTTCCTCATGTTTGTTCAGCTATACTTAATGATGATTGATAATGTCTACCATTTCCAGGATCATGATATTTAAATTTGTTTTGGGAAATGTGGGTGTTTTCCTCTCTTTTCTTTTTTCCCTTTTTAAATAATGAATTATGAATTGATTTCCAATAGCATAGAATCTGCTTTATATTTAACTAACTTTTCCATCATTCTCATTCAATTCTTTCCCAAGTAGGTCTATTGCTAGAGTGCAAAAAAAAGGGAGATTATTTGGTTTCTCTTGAAGATGAAGATTAGACCACAAGTATTCTGGGGCGTGGTACATGCTAGACGCAGCTACTTGCAGCATGTATACTGAAATTAGGTAATTCACTCAATTACTTGGTATTCTTTACCTTCCAAACTACTGCAAAACTTTGCCATTGTCTTAATTTCCTCATTGCTCTTCTAAACACTGTATGTTTTTTTTTTTTTTGGTAGAAAAACACTGTATGGTATGTTTATTGAATTTATATTTTCCTTTTTTTTTTGTTCCTTTTTTATGAGATATTTTTCCTTTTTGTTCCATCTTCATATTAGATCTTGATTACTCTACTTAGTCTACATGACTATGACTAGACAGGTTCTTTTTTTGGTTTCTTTTCTTTCTCATTTTTTTACTTTAATTTGTTGGGGGTGGTATCTCTAGTTCAAAGTTACTAGAGCTTAGAAGAGTATGTAGAAGTTCAGGAATCCGCAGATATGCAAGTTGTGTGTATCATTTTCTTAACGGGACTTTGCCATGTCTAATTTCTCTCCAATTTGTATGTTTAAATTGTATGGAATGTATATATCTTGATTTGCCTTAAAAAATAATCTATACTTGCTTTTGATTGTTCTTTTTGAGTAAATTGATCGTGAGGAACTTGATCATGAGTTTATGATTGTTATTATTGTTTGATTTTTATTTGAGGTGTCTACACTAGAAATGTTGGTTCTGCACTGTATGTAAGACTGGGCTGGAAAACAGAAACAAGAAATCTTTCCTTGACAAATTCCACCAGAAAAAATTGACTGCTGCTGAGGTGATTATTGGCTGTATTATTCATTTTATTCATTGTTCGGATTTAGTGTTAGTAAAAGTCGAAATCTTAAGTGCTTCTGTTTCTGCAAATTAAAATTTTCATTCTTAAAGCAGGAGCTGAACCTGATTCTAACGGTTAATTCTCTTGAAAGTTAACGGTTCATTGACGAGGTATTTTGTAAAATCAAAGCATGAAAGTTAAGTTTGTTCTTTTTATGTTTCTTGATCCCTATACTTCAAATTGATTTTTCATTCTTAGCAATTTCAAGCAATTTGAAGAATAGGTTGATTGATATCTTTTTAGACTTTTATGATAGTGAATGCTGTTGTCTTGGATGCTGCCTTTTCATTTAAATTTTGAAAATTGCTTTCTCATACAATATTTACTGACTATTAAGAAAGCTAAATTCTTTTGCTGGTTCTATTTCAAAAGACTTCGACTTCAACCCTGTTATATTATTTGTCATAGACTAAGATCATCACCTTGCATCCCACGTTGCTCACATTCCTGGTGCCTAGGGAAGAGAGTATAGATGAAGGAATTTTTAAAATAATTTTATGAGTATAATGGAGTATCGTGATATAATTTCACTTTAATATTACATAATTTTATTTTTAATGAAAATCAATCAAAATGATTATTTGACATAAGTTTTAATTTTAATTGTCTTATTTATGTGACGTTAAGATAATATATTTATTTTTTTAATATTTTAAATATAAGTATTTATCTAACATTTATGTTTTAAATATGAATAATTGATTTTTAATCATCAATCTTAAACTAGCTATAAAATTAAAGTTATATAAAAATATAATAGAAAAATGGAGTGAGAGTGGTGATTAAGTAAAAAATATCTATTTCAGTCATTTTTATATTACATTAAATTAAAT